TAAATGCTCTAAAAGAGCACAGAATGTCATGATTTCCCTCTCTGTGCCTCTGCTGCGATCAGCCACCTGCAAGCGCTCTCGGCCACGCCCACTTCTCCGCTCTGCACGGTGAACAGCTGATCAGCTGCAGCAGGAAGTTTATCCTGCAGTAAGAGCTGCACAGAGGTACAGGAGGAAGCTTTGTTTAACAGTTGTGGGCTGCACAAATGTGCAGCAAGTTCTAAATAATTTTAAATAATTTATTTTGAATGAACATTCCATGCCGATCGCGAGGCTCGTCCATCAACCAGCCAATTCCCATGTCCAACCTTATTTTGAAAGATCGCGATAAAGCGAATCCGCGATAAACAAACCAAAGTAGTGAGGGACTACTGCACAGATCGTTTTAAATGTAGACATGTTTCTGTTAGAGACTGTCTACAACTCCAGACAGGAACTCACAGGTAAAGCATGGAGGTTATTTGAATTGTAAGCTGGATACCAAAGTCTTTTTACAAGAATGAAAAGACCACATCTCTGAAGTGCTGTACCAAATTACCTCTTGGAAAAATGCTCCATGCAAATTCAGCCACAGGACCTGACTGTCAACAAACATCACTCACAAAAAAAAGAGTGGTGTTTTACCACTGAAAATATATTGCTTGCATATATTTTAATTCAACTTTGTAATATTTATGTATGTATACGTAAATACAGTACATACATACACATGTATGTATGTATATGTGTGTTGTATGACCCTGACCCTTTTCTGGGCAGGGCCATTGGGAGCTGGTGCCTATCTGCAGTGGTTGTTGATGGAGTGGCAGAGTACACCATGGACAGGTCGTCAAGCCAAGTCAGTTTTATGGTCATTACCATCTCATGTTGTACATGAGATGGAACAAAATTATGTACACAGGGTCCCAGTTACACCTCTAAATTGCAAAATGTGAAGTATAAAAAGCAACAGTAAATAAGGATCTAAGATATACACTAAGATACAGTATACGCTAAACAAGCACCAAACGGTATGCTAAAAGACCTAAGATACTGTATATGCTAAATACTAATAATGTAAAACAACGGCAGCCTGATCACCAGTCAGGTCACCAGTCTATCACAGGGTTACATAGAAAGAAATAAAACAACAACAAAATAATAATAGTCTGCTATTCCACAACTGCTTCGCTCACAGCAAATAGAATATTCTGCAGAAAGTGTTCCTGAGTTTACTAGAAGTGCTTCAGCTCACTACAGTTGTTGCTGTTTTTGATGTAAGATACTTGCGAATCCACCACCCCCCCAACCCCCCCCCCCACCCAACACCCCCAAAAAACTGTAGGTACTGTAAATAAAAGTGCATTGCAAAATTAACATTGGTGTAAAGGTTTATAACAAAAAATTGAAGTTGTTTTTAATATGCTAATGCACTTTACTATTGGCCCTGCTCAAACTAGCTAATACCTTGTTAATTTGCTTAGAGTTAAACTCTGATTCTCCAAACTGAGGTTGTACAATGAGCTAACTACAGCACAATACAGTATTAATTGTGCATAAGCTTTATTACAGAACCCTGCTCAAAAAGAACTGAATTTTCCGTGTTCACGATTTATGCCAAGTTGTAATATCTGTACTTATGTGTGCTTGTGTGGACACATTCTTGTGCAACACAACACGTACACAGGATATACTTTATCTGCTTAGAAAGATTGAAGTCGTTAAACAGATTTTGTTGGTAAGCTTTGCAGGCATGAGGTAACATAATATTCCACTTTGGGGAGTTGGTACCAATAACTCATGTCCCCTTTTCTCTTACCCACAGTGATGTAACCTTCCTGTACGCAAAATCTCTCACACAATTTACGAGACAAGCTATTTTTTATCATGTTGCTCTCTTTCACCTTTGCCTTACTCTCTATACTGGAAGTATTTCTCATAGGATTTCTGGTTAATCTATTTAAGGGTACTGCATTCACTCACCTGTTTTAATCATCAGTATGTTTCATGTTTTGTAGTAAAACATTTTTTTCGTCTCATAATGCTCCTGGCTGCCATAGCATGCAGTAATTGAAAAATACCACACCACACTTGGCAAGATTTCCCTTATTAGCTAAACTTCTTTCCTTTGCTCTCTCAGTATGCAACCACAAGCAAATATGAAAGGATTGCAATTATGTTACAGCAAACAATAATTAATGCTGTCTTTATACCAGCACCAATAATCTGACTTGAACCAAGGCAAGGAATTCAAACTGTGTAGCAAATTATACTTGTCTTTACCATCAGAATCTGCCATATATTTGTCACATTGATTCTTGACTTTTTACTTAAATGAGTCTCTGAAGAATGAATGCTAACTCTAAGGATAAACAAGTTATTGACACTGCCAAACTTCAAAAAATAATATATTTTCTAGACATTGTGCACACCAAAACCCTACACTGCAATCCAACAACAACTTGTAGTGTAAAGATAAGGATGTATCAAGACTCTTACCGCAGTAAACAGCTTCTTCCTGCCTGTCTAAAGATATAATAAAACAAAGAGCAGCATAGCTTCTCAAACAGCTCCTTTATGAAAAATGTATGTCCCAAAAATGTTTTTTGGAGGGTATCAAGGTGTGGCTTGTTCTTTGTCTTAAAAGAGAAGTTGAGATGTTAGACAGGCATGATACAGATGATATGTATGCAGATCAGTAATAGAAGTAAGTTGTGCAATAAATGAGGAGCTTCAGTCTCATAAGTGTTGTTTTCTCTAAGATCAAACTTGACATGTTTCAAAAGTAATAAGTCATTCCAAAGGGAAGGAGAAAATCAGAATATCCTGTTTTTAACAATAGAAGCACAGCTGTAGTTGTGATTGTATAGAATTTTTAGGCCTTTGCTTTTCAGAAAATATACAACACTGTCATAACGTCATCTCTGAGTCCTGTCATACACTTTTTATTTGGCCGAGTTAACGAGTATGGATTATTTGGCAGTTTTACCTAGCATTAAAACTTCAAATTTCTCCATCTTTGTTCGTCTTTTCTTCTCAGTTTACCTCTCTTCTCTAAAGAAAGGGGGGAAAAAAAAAGTTTGGTCTCATACTACCTCTTTCTTATCATCAGGGGAGGACAAAGGTTTATGTGGGCCTCTCATTCTGTCTCACAGTGAGGGATAGCTGCAGTGAATTGTGGGTAACAGAATCCAGCTGTGTTGTAGACAGTGTTGTATAGTTTTTGGTGTGATCATTTGCAGGAATATGTGTGTGTAGCGTACATCTGTGTGCATGTGTAGAGCTGTGTGTTGAGCTGTTTCTTATCAATCTGACAGTGGTGCCTTTATCCTGTGGACACAACCTATATATACAAGTAGAAACAGATACAAGAAATCATTTGACTTTTAACTGTGGCAGAAAACAGCTTTGCAAAGGTTATATATAAATCAGAGAGAACGCAAATAGAACTAGTTTTGCAGCTTCATATCTTACTAATACAATGAAATGTGTGAGAGTGTACTGGGTGCAGTTGATGTGGCATATGACAGATTATTGGCTGGATGATGAGCGTTAATACAAAACAAGAAGGGAGAGCAAAATATTTAAAAACAATACACATACAGTGTATAAAAAAGCACCGAATAACTTGCAGGCTGACTTTGATTTCCATGTTTAACATCTAAACTTCAGTTTGGAAATAATTAATGGATATAAAGAAAATGTATTGTCTACTTTTTATATGATCATCTTAGCAAGCAAATTATCAACACTTGTCCTTTCTCTTTTTTAATGTTTTTCAGAATCACGGCCTGTCAACATCATGTTGCTTTACCTGGTGTTCATCTTACTCATCTCTGCTGTGGAGTTATCCATTGACTGCCCAGAGCTCTGCATGTGCAATGCCCCAGACTCAATATTTTGCAACAATAGAAAGTCCACCTCTGTACCTCATGTCCCTGTCACCACCCAGCACCTATACATCTTCCACAATAACATTCCCACTTTGTCCCAAGATGACTTCAGAGACCTAGGAGAGTTGGTGACTCTAGATCTGAGCCAAAATGTGTTGGCAGAAGTTCCTGACAGGGTATTTGAATCACTGTCAAAGTTAAAGAACTTAGACCTGTCTACTAACAGCATTACTCACATTTCCAAAGAGAGTTTCTATGGATTGGTTCAGTTAGAGAGGCTGTATCTCCAAGGGAACCGAATTCAGAGCATTCATTGGGAAGCTTTTGAAGGTTTAGAGATGCTATTGGAACTCAAGCTGCAAGGTAACTTGCTCACCTCTCTGCCTTCTCTTTATTTTCCCAGTCTTCTTCTTTTAGACCTTAGTCACAATTACATCCCAACTTTGGGACACTCAGACCTCCACACCCCCAATTTAGAGGCCCTTAAATTGGTGTCCTTAGGGCTAACCTCTGTGGATGAAGATGTCATAGGCTCAATGAAGAACCTCCATGAGCTTGACTTATCAGGCAACAAATTAATTGAAGTCCCTCAGGCCCTGAGGCAAGACTCCCTCAAGGGGCTAATCAAACTTAGCCTGGCATCCAACCCACTACTTGAGCTGAGGATAAAGGAATTCCAAAAACTGGTTAGTCTTCAAGAACTAGATCTCAGTGGACTTAATCTTCAGGGATTTTCTGATGGATTTTTTGAAAGCTTTCCAAGGTTGATGCACTTGACTGTTGCTGAGAACCCATTAAACTGCCAGTGTCCATTAGCCTGGTTCCCTATTTGGCTAAAAGAGAAGGAAGTGAAGTTGAAGAAGCCTCAGATAACCAGATGCCATTTTCCTCTAGTTAATGCTGGAAAGATGCTTTCGGAATTGGAGTACAAAGACTTTGGATGTGCACCAACCACAACAGAATATATTGGCTTTGTCAAAGGAAATACTTTTGCTCCACAAATTCCAACCACACCTCCAGACATGATCCATACTAAAGCCATTCCTCCCCCTCTGCCACCTAGTGAAGAAACCATTTCTTCAAAAACAGATAATTACCCCATTCATCCAGAACATCCCGTCTCACCCAGCTCTAGCAGAGAGGAAAACGAGCAGCATTTCTGTCCACCAAACATTTGTCTCAATGGGGCTACTTGTACTCTTGACTCTCTTGGTTTTGTCAGCTGTTCATGTCCCTCTGGAATATCTGGCCTCTTTTGTGAGAATGAGTTAGAAGATCCTGAGCCACAGCAACCTTCAACAACAAAAGTTCCTTCAGTTGCCCCTGCGATGCCCAGTAAACCTGATGCAATCACCTCTCTTCACGTGACCTCCACATCAATCCATCTAGACCTGCACCACTTCATTGAGACACGGCCAAATATTCGTGGCATCAGATTGACTTACCGCAATCTTTCAGGGCCTGATCGCCGCCCTATCATACTGAGCTTGCCAACATCCTACCCTGAATACACTCTGCGTGGTTTGAGACCCAACTGTACCTACTCTGTTTGTGCCAGTCCCCTTGGAGAGAAAAACATTGTTAAGAGTAACAGCTCAATAGAGTCAGGGTCATGTACAGAGGCTCGCACTGAGGGTGTGCTTGTGACTTCAGTACAGCCTCAAGTGAATGGACATACCTCTATATCAAGCACGCTCATCACAGCTCTTGCAGTCCTAGCATTGGTGCTGGGCTTGGCTGTGATGGTTGGGACCTTAATCTGTCTGCGGAGGAAGAGGCGGGCAAATGCAGGTATGGAGCTAGAGCTGGGTCCAGCTGATCCAGACCCCACTGAGTTAGACAGTATAAAATCTTGCCTGGACAATGGGGTAAATGGTACCCTACCTCTCAAGCAACCAGAGAAAGACTTTTGCCAGACTTCTCAACTGCCGTTATTGTTTCAACAAAATGGTCATTTGGACTATGAATCACCACTGATGCAAGGACAATGTCCATCGAATAACAATCTAGCATCCCTTAAACCATCTTATTTCTAACAGATACAAATACTTTGAAGAGTTCTTATCAGGATTTCCTGACCTTGCTATAGCTCACAGTGGTTTAATTCAATTCTTTTCCTATATCAGATGCTAACAATCTGAGAAAATGCACTTATCCTCATGTTGTACACATGATGATATGACAGAATGGATTTAATTTAAGAGACACTGAATCGTGCATTTAGGATTAAAGCATATTTAAAATATGCTTAACCGCTAAGGGACAATGAAGAGAATGCTATTTGAGATCACTGAGCTGAGGCAAATGATGGTAAAAACCTAATCAAGTGAATAAATTAAGTGCAATCAACTAAAATTGTCGTAGTAATGAACAGTGCCTTCTTGCACTGACCCCAGATGTTTTGATTTACTTTCTTCTCATAAAAGATAATTCAAAGGAACTTGTTGCTGGAAATAGGAAATATGACACTGAAAATGTGCCTCAGCTTTCAGATCACAAACTGGAGAACTGTTTGAATCACACAAACTGACATAAATTGGTGTTTCAAACAACTCAAGTGGCACCGTGGGGGCTGGAAAAACTTGCACTGAGAAACAAAAGGTTTTCTTTTCCAGTGCCCTATTCAGACAAGACTGACGGTCAGATGGAGATGGCACAAATTGTGTAACTTTTGAAACAAGCTAAATTTTAGAAAAGCTGTACATGTGTTTATTTTGCTGTTGACACCATCTAATGTGAGAAGACTTTTCTAATGTCTGATGAATTTTAGAATTCATCAAATCCCATATTACATAGCCCTCGACCTCTTTGACATTTAAATTTCTGTGAAAGACATGAAAAGAATGAACTTTGCTGTTATTCTGTGCCATTATGAACATACTTATTTTTACTAGTTGATGTCAAGATATTGTTTGTATTGTAAGTTTTTGTATTTTTGCCATGTGTTTTGCTGTAAATACTCATTCAATTATGTTATTGTTATGAATATAAATAGTTACTTTCATGCTTTGAAAAAAAAAACAGCTAACATCAAAGATTTTCTTTGTTTCTATTTGCATTGGTGTTACAATGTTAAAGCTATCCTAGTCACAGTATTTGTTCAGTGCAAAACTCAATACCAGCTTAAATTCTTGCAAGACCAAATGTAAAAGCAACTAACCGCAGTAAAAAAATGAAAAAAACAAAACTATATTCATGTTAAGATTTAATTAGGACTTGGACATGTCTAGTGCAGAATGGCTTTTTCTGTGTGTGTCAGAAGAATTGTTAGATATCATAGACCAGAAATATGGTTGCACTGAGCTACACTGCAGCTTTTAGCTAAGTGAAGGATTGTGGGCATTTAACCTTGGGAAATTAACTTGTGTGCAGTCTTACAAGAAGCTCTAACCACAAAGAATAGCTGCAAACACGTATAACACCTGCTGGATGACTGAAAGTTACTATGAGCCAAAAGGAGAACAAATGTCAAGTCATCAATGGGATAAAGTAAAAGAAATAAAAATAAAATCCATGCATAAAACACAAACAACAGCTGAACTGCACTATACAGTTTTTATCTTAGTTTCTATACCACAGAGCAAATCTTTATCATATCTCCATGGCAGAGTTAAGGCAATATTCTATTTGTACTCAAAAGACAACATTTCCAAGTTCCAAATCTTAAAATCACCTGTAATACCCCCCGAAGACAGAATTTTGACTCAGAACGTCTGAGATTTCTGAGCAACATCAACATCAAAATCCATAAGGCTGCTTCACGTGCAAAAAGACGTGATGGTGACAATAAAAACAAACAAAAAAAGTTAAATCATGTGATCTGCACCAGTTTCTTTAAGTGAGAAACGTTTCGTCCCCCATCCAGAGGACTTCTTCAGTCTACGGCCTGCCAACCAGATCTGTCCCATAGGTAGCCTTCACTGCTGTGTTTTAAGCCAACCTCCTGTTAGAATCTCAAAAGTAGGTTTTTAACATGTGCAAAACACACCCATCCTAAACAATCAATCATCGTGTACAACAATCAAATGTTTTAGGCCAGATGGCCAACTTGCTACTCACAGAATCAGCCTGAGGACAACCAAGGCCAAAGTGGTTCAGAAAAAGGGTTGTAAGATCAATCTTACAGGTAGATAACAACAACAAAAAAAGGTTAAATCGTGTCATCTGGACCAGTTTAACAAAGAAGCAAAATAAAGTAAAGTGACAGTAAAACTTTTTTCACTTCTGTCATTTTTTAAATCAGCAGCAAATTCAGTCCTATCCTGTCTCTAAATGAAAACATGTTACATTGATTGAATGCAAAGAATGAAAGAAGTATGTTATCGACTTGTTTAGCTAATAATTGTTAACCTGGTTTCACTTCCTGCTGGTTTTCCGACCCGCTACTGGAACATGGTTAAGTCAGGTATGATGTTGTTCCCAAATCCTAGTTTCGATTTCCTAAGTAAATTTAGCAAAAGCTACAAGAATAATGAAAGCACTAACACAAACAAGATTGGGCCACATCTCCATTTTCCTATGCATGTACAGTATTTTAGCAAATCTCATCTGCAAAATGATTGTGCAGATCTGTTCAAACACTTGAGCTCTGCCAGCTGATGCCTTATAATCTTAGACCGTCTGTGAACACCAGAGCAAGAAAAATCAAAAAGATGACCAGAGAACTTTTCCCTCCTAAGAAAATCAATGTTCTTTATTGTCATTCGCATCACATGTGGTACATGAGGTGGAATGGAATTGTGTACCCAAGGTTCCAGTTACACCCAAAAATAGCAATAATATAAAGTATAAAAAGAAACAGTATACAAGGATCTAATAAAAACACTTAACACTAGTAATGTAAAATAATATAGTATATTAAAATGACTAGCAACTAAGAAAGATGTGATTTTAAAAAGGATTTCAAGGTTACTTTTTTGTGGGAATCAGAATCACAATTAAATATAAATTTATTTTTTATATAAAGATAAGTTTTTTTAACATTGCTACATAATTTTAGGTGTAGTTGCAGTTATATTACATGCTAATGTGCATTTCAAGAACAAACAGTTTGTATCCCATCGCACTGACATCACATTATAAAGTTTAAATGAAGAATATCAGAAATATTGGAATCAGTTGTTTAGTTTTAAAGAAAGCTTTACTCCTGTTCAGGCAAAACCTCAGATGCCTTTTTTATTTTTAGTTCGTGTTTGTGTGTGAACGTCTTTGTTTCAAACTTTAGAACCATCCAGAATTACCATGTACACTTTTTTCCCCCTAAACACAGTCATACACACTTTTTGGTTATATTTGCTTTTTCTCCATCTTATCTGTAACTGGAAAATTCTTTGTCATTGTTGGCCAGTTAGAACTCCTGGAAATGTTTGTAGTATTTCAAAATGTTTTTATACTACCTTAATTAATTTGAGCATCGTGTCTTTTTTAAAATTCTCTGTTATTCTAACAATATTGTTTCTGTGTACATTTGGTCAATGTTGAGAAAAAAACAGTATTAAAATGCCTTAATGAAAACCTGTGTGAGTTTTATTATTGATTCTTATATTTTATGTTTAAAAAAATGTCATTCATTCAACCTTTACTTATACAGGTTAGTCTCATTTGGTCATGAGGACTAATTTACAAGAGAGCCCTGTTTTAAACAAAAAACACTGATGTACAAACAGCAATACACATTCATATAAAGGCATATAAAATGAAAAGTAAATAAAAGAAGTGACATAAAACAGCCAAAAAAAAACATAAAACAATGTAAAATACTAAAAACGGGAACGTCTGCATTGTTTTTTGCATTGAACTCAACAGTTGTTTAAAGTTGCTTAGAAAAGCCAACAACTTCAGATCTTTTTGCAACATGTTCCAGATTACAGGAGCTGAGTAGGAGAAGGCCCTTTTGCTGAATTCGGTCCGCACTGAGGGAACGCTGCAGGTAATTATGTCCTGAGAGCGCACGCTGTAACTGCACTGACGAAGTGACATGTAGGAGGAGATGTATGAAGGCAACAGACCAAGATTTAAAGATGAAAATGAACCTGTGAGAGAGTCTGTGTGAAGTTAATGATGTCCAGTTAACCAATGAATACAGGGTGGAGTGATGGGTACGTTACAGCCATTTATGAATCTTGGTGCACCATACACATGTACATGGTTTACTAGTAAGAACTTCAGCTGTTTTTTGTTTGTTTGTTTTTTTCTTTCTTGATGATTGGATCAGTAGTTTTAAAACCTTTTAAGTTCTGATCTACAAAGTAACAGTGGCAGAGATTTGGGAACTCGACCATTGTTGGTTGAAATAAACTAACTTTGCACGTGAACCATTGAAACAAGGAGACAACATGAACAGCCTCAACAAACACTAGATTTAGACTTGTACAGTTCACTGGTCAACTATGGTTGACTTGACTTGAAGGAAAAGTCTGGTTATTTTTGAAGTCATATTTTGTCAAAAAGTTATCATTTAGTTAATATCAGCATCATAAGGCAAGAGTATGGAGAAAAAAGGCAACAGGCTTTGTCCAGACTAGGCTAATGGTTAACCAAATGAGGGTAGGTTTGATATTGTTTTTCAGACCTATAAAGCAATTATTTTTAACAATGACATACTAGTTAATATTAAACCTCTACATTTTTGCACGTTTGTTTTTTTTGTCACTGTTTTCTCAGCCAAACAACGTCTGTGCGTTAATATGCAAATGCGTATGTGATGAGCACATAGTCAGTGTGTTGATGCTGCTGAATCTATCTGCTCAGCAGAGTGTGTCTAGACAGTCAAAAGTTTATTCAGTTGAATAACTTCAGCACCAAGGGTATGGTATGCACAGTTTATCCTCAGCACACACATATTTGCTTATTACCAAAGGACATTGTTCAATTGAAAAAAAAAAAACATTAGCAGAGCATTCAGGTCTTTTGTAACGAGTCCCCGAGGCTCAATGGGATTAACCTGTATAAATTAATGTTGAATGAAAAATTAAGAAAAAAGCATTTTTTTAAGCTGGAAACATTTTACGAAATGGGACCTCATTTGGCTAGACAG